ATCTGCACTATTTCATTAGTAGAAAACTATACTAATTTAGATTTACTTTCTAAATTTGAATTAGTAAAACTATTTACTAATTTGAATTAGTGACTGACTTCTTGCTTTTGAGTTAGTAAATTTTACTAATAAATAGCAATTTCTACTAATTTATTAGTAAACTTTACTAATTCAAAAGCAAAAAGTCTGTCACTAATTCAAAATAGTAAACATTTTTACTAATTAAAATTTAGAGAGTATAGTGAGTAAAAATTATATTTCATAATATTTTTGAAAAAGTTCTTTGACAATTTTCAAATCTATTTGTTAACAATTCAATTTTACGAAATTTTAAATATTTGGCAATTCTTCAATTAAATATATAATTTGAAAATAAAAACTTCAAATAAATTCCACAAAAATTCAATTAAACTTTTTGCAAAAAAAAATAATTCCACAGAATTGTTAGTTAAAGATACAAAAAATTCCGATTTTCAAAGATTTTAATTTGAAACCTTTTCAAAATTAAATTATTTTAAAATTCAAAAACTTAATATTGAAATTTTATAAAATTTTGAATAAAATTAATTTTATATCAATTTTTATTAGAAATTTCTACTAGAATTCAATTATTTAAATACAAAAATAACTTTGAATATTTGACTGTTTTTTTTAAATATTGAACTCTCATAAAAAAATTTTTTCAACAAATTTTTAAATAATTGAATTTTTTCGACGGATTTTAATCAAATTTTTAAATTACACTTTTGTAGAAATTCGATTAAAATTGTTTTAAAAATAATTAAAATTGAACGATGAGTTTTATTATTTATGAAATCAATTGCATTCATAAAAAGAATTTTATTATTTATGAAAACAATTGAATCTTTTAAAAAATGTTATTATTCATAAAAATAATTGAATTATTGCGAAGAAATTTATAAAAAAAAATTTGTAAATAATTGAATTCTTTTGAATTCCAGTTAAATTTAGAATTTCAGTTAAATATTTATTAGAAAATAAAAAATTTAAATTATTTCAATAAAAATTCAATTAAACTATTTCAAGAAAATTAATTCTACAGAATTGTTTGTTAAAAGTATGAAATATTCCTATTTTTAAAGATTTTAATTTGAAAGTTTTTCAAAATTCAATTATTTCTTAGAATTAATGCTATCATTTTTTTAATATTCAATTATTATCTATAATATTAACTGAAATTCATTTTTAAATCAATTTTTATTAGAACACATTTTACAAGAATTCAATTATTTAAATACAAAAATTAATAATTTATTGAATAATTGATTACTTCTTAATATTCAATTGTCATAAATAATTTTTATTATTTATGAAAATAATTTAATGTTCTCGTAGAATATTATCAAATTTTTTTTTTTTTTAAATTGAATTCTTTTAGAAAATTTTATTAAAATCATAGATATTAAAAATCATTAAATAGAGGAAAATTTTTAAGAATAATTGAGATTTTGACAAAAATTGATTAAAATGTTTGAAAGTAATTGAATTACTGCAAAGAAATTTATTTAAAAAATTGTTAATAATTGAATTTCTTTGAAATTTTTATTATTTATGAAAATAATTAAATGTTTGCGTAGAATTTTACCAAATTATTGTTTAAATAATTGAAATCTTTTGGAAAATTTTATTAAAATCGTAGATATTAAAAATCATTGAATTGAGGAAAATTTTTGAAAATAATAATTGAGATTTTCCCAAGAATTTTATTAAAATGTTTAAAAATAATTGAATTTTTACGAATAATTAAAATGACACCAAAGTTCAAAATTTTCTTATGAATTCTAAAAATTAAATTTTTTCCAGTGCTTTTAATTAAAATCCCTGACTTTTCCTGATTTACCTGACCACTTTTACATTCCCAAACTTTTCCCTTAATTCCCTGACTTTCTTTTCAAAAAAATTAATTTTTTTGAAAATTTCCCATGTAGAACTTTTTAATAAAGCTTGAAAATAATTATTATCTTCACATTTGAGCTCAAAATTTTTTTAATCTTATATAAACAATTTAAAAAATTTTAGTTCCGTGGTTAAATAATAAGTTTAAAAAAGTAAAGTTATATCCACTAATAATATAAATAATGTGGAAAAACAAATAAATTCTATATGTTAATGGGGATAAAGGAGAAAAAGGTAAAAATTCAAAAATCAGGATTTGTATTACAATGGAAATGTATAGACTTTACCTTTTTTATTTTGAAATTTAGCTCAAAAAGTAGATAACAATCTTAAAATATAAATTCTCAAGTGATAAGTAAAACAATTTACATGCACCTGCACAGTTTGCGACTGATTGTGAGTGAAAGAAAATCCTTCAACAACCATAAAGTATACACGACCGGAAATTGAAGTCCATCGTTGAGATGATGGACGTTTCTACTGTGAATGCCAATTTTCATGCAAATGACTTTTTCCGATTAAAAAAAAAAAAAAAAATTATACACCGATAATAATGGATAAGAAAAATGAGAAAAACAATTTATATTTTCTCCTTTTTTTTTCTTGTTTGTGTATAATTTGAAAGAACAAAAAACAAATTATTAAATCAAGATACGCATATTTGTGTGTTTTTTTTTATTATTTTCACAAAACGTGTATACTCTGTCTGTAGAGAAAAATAATAAAAAAAAATTGTCCGTCAATATTTACATTGCATAATTAAAAATTCCCTCTCACTCTCTTTTTGATGGTTTGTTATATTTGAATAAGAGTAGGGGAAATTTCTGAATTGCTCTCTCTGCATGCAAGCACGATAAATATTGTTTTTCATTTAATTTCTCATTATCAGCCGCCCACTGCGCTCACCTTTCGTGAGACTCATCACTTCCCCCCCCCAAACCCCACCCTATAACCCCTATGAGGATTAACATTCCGTGATTACATTTCTAGTCGAGAGCATGAAACCTCGAGAATTCACCAATTTGTTGCAAATTGAGTGTGGTTTATTGTTTTTCATTTTCTACAATATTATAATTGGAGAGAAACATATTTCACAAAATAGCCGATTTTTTAGACAATTTTATTCAATTTTAAATATAAATAAAAAAAAATTAAAAAATAAATTGTAAAATATTAGGTAATAATAAATGAAAAAAAAAATGAAAAACAAAAATAAACATGATTTATGAAAGTCATTACTGAAATGACGACGATGAGAATAATTTTTTTTTTACAATTGATATCAAATAATATCTCAATTTAAATAATACAAATCGAAAGGTAATCTTTATAAGAGGAAATGACGATTTCAAGATTAAAATGAAAAGAAAAAAAATTATAATGTAAAAAGAAAATTTTTCTATAGCGGAAATCAGAAGAAAATAATTCATCAAAAGCAGTATGAGATTGATTTAAATTTTATGTCACTCGTAAATCTTGTTGGATTTTGATTCAACAAAAGAATATGACTTTTTTCCTACAAAGTTCTCTTCTTTTTTTTTAAATAATTTTTCTTTTTTTTTTTACAAAGTTCTCTTCTTTTTTTTTAAATTAACTTCTAGAAATTATTTCACTTTGAAAATGAAAATTTCAACTTTATTATTTTATGAATAAATAAATATAATTAATAATTATTAAAAATTGCTATTATTAATAATTTAAAAAAATTCTACGCAAACATTTATTTATTTTAAATAAATTATAAAAATTTCACAGAAATTCAATTAATTACAAATTTTTTAATTAATTTCTTATTTTTCTTCACAAAAATTCAATTATTTTCATAAATAATAAAATTTCTTACAAGGATTCAATTATTTTCATAAATATTTAATTGGTAGTAGTCAAATAATCAGTTATTTGAATCAAATAAATTTTTTTTTCAGTGTAATGAAAATTTAATTTTAAGAAACATTCAATTATTTAATAAATAAATAAATTATTTTTGTATTCAAATAATTGAATTCTCTTGGAATTTTCTAATAAAAATTGATTTAAAAATTGTTTTTTGGTTAAAATTTTATAAAATCTACAATTTTAATAAAATTTTGCAAAAGAATTCAATTATTTGAAAAAAATCTTGGTAAAATTCTACGCAAACATTCAATATTATTTTCATAAACAATCAAACTTATCGCAGAATTTCATTTATTTTTAATACAACCAATTTTAATGGAATTTCTCGAAAAATGTAATTATTCTCAAAATTGTTTTCAAAAATTTTAATGCAATTCTTCGTAAAATTCAATTATTTCCAAAGAATTTAAGAATTCAATTATTTTTATGAATAATAGAGTTCTATTATTTATAAAAATAATTAAATAATTACATTTTTCGAGGAATTTGATTAAAATTTTATTGAAAATAATAAAAATTCTGCGATTAGTTTTATTATTTATGAAAATAATTGAATTATTACGAAGAAATTTATAAAAAATTTGTAAACAATTAAATTTCAGTGAAATTTTTACTACTTATGAAAATAATTAAATGTTTGCGTAGAATTTTACTAATTTTTGTTTTTTAAATAATTGAATTCTTTTGGAAAATTTTATTAAAATCGTAGATATTGAAAAATCATTGAATAGAGGAAATTTTTTGGAAATAATTGAGATTTTGATAAGAATTTTATTAAAATGTTTGAAAATAATTGAATTTCGGGGAAGAGTTTTATTACTTTTGAAAATAATTGAATTTTTACGAAAAATTTCATCAAAAAATTTTGAAAATAGTTATAAATTTTATAACATTTTTTCAAAATTATTATTATGAATAATAATAATAAATGTCAATTGAATATTTACTGAGAAAAGATGCTGTTGTTTTAACGAGAGATAGAGTGGAGGGGGAAGGGGAAGAAGAAAAATAATAGTGAAATAGCAGTTTTCAAGGGAAAATACAAAAGCACATATATATAGAGAGAGAGAGAAACTTGTTAAAAAGATAAGAGAAAATTTAAAAGAGAGATATAAAAATTGAATGGAATGACTATATATATGTAACTTGTCTTTAGAATTCATTTCTTTTCTTTTAAACGATTCGGAGGTCATATATTTCTTCTTCGTTAAATATATATATATAAAGAATGATTCTCTCTTTTCTTTCTGTTTTAATATGAGAAACAATATTTTTCTTTCCGTTATTTCATTTTTATTTTCGTTTCATTATTTTTGGGATATATAATTTTTCCTTATTTTCTGAATTCTCTTTATTTTAAGTTCTAAGTGGAGCAAAAAAATTTTATAAATTATAATAAAAGAAACATTAGGTAAGTAAAATTATTTTTCTTTTTAAGACAATAAAAAAAACAAAAGTATTATTTTTTCATAGGGAACAAAAACAAATGTATTCAAATGAGAATTATTTTTGTTGATAGAAATTATTTTTTTTTTGATAATTGTAGAGATTTTATTATTTTTCAATTTATTCATTGTTTTCCTGATTCTTTTCAAAAAGTTCTTTGGAATTTTTGTCAATTAACTTGTCTTCTCATAAATAATAAAAATTTTTCACAGGGATTCAATTATTTTCCTAAATAATAAAATTCTATTTAGGAATTCAATTTTTTTTATAAATATTAAATAATAAAACTCATCGCTGAATTTCAATTATTTTTATTAAAAGTTCAATCGAATTCCTCGAAAAATGTAATTATTCTTAAGAATTTGATTAAAATTCGTCAAAAGAATACAATTATTTAAAATTTTCTAAAAAAAATTTTTTACGAGAATTTAATTTTAAAAAACATTGAATTATTCAATAAATTACATATTTTTGTATTAAAACAATTGAATTCTCGTAGAATTTTCCAATAAAAATTGATTTAAAAATTAATTTTATTAAAAATTTTAATAAATTTCAATTTTGAGTTTTGAATTTAGTATTTTAAAAAATTTTTATAATTAAAAATTGTTCTGAAATAATAGTTACATTTCTTAATGTATATTTAATTAAATATTAAAAATAATGAATTTATAGATGAATTTCAGTTAAAAACAAAAAAAAAAATTGAATTTTGCAGAAGTTACAAATAATTGAAGAATTTTAATTATTTTCAAAAGTAATAAAATTTTTCTTCGAAATTCAATTATTTTTAAACATTTTAATGAAATTCTTGGCAAAATTATAATTTTCAAAAATTTTCCGCAATTCAATGATTTTCAATATCTACGATTTGAATAAAATTTTCCGAAAAAAGTCAATTATTTAACAGCAATTTTGGTAAAATTCTACACAAACATTTAATTATTTTCACAAATATTAAAAATTTCACAGGAATTCAATTATTTACAAAAATTTTTTAATTTCAATTATTTTCATAAATAATAAAAAATTTTTACAGGGATTCAATTATTTCCCTAAATAATAAAATTCTATTTAGAAATTCAATTATTTTCAAAAATAATATAAATCATAATTGAATTTAAATTATTTTTATTACAATTTCAATAGAATTCCTCGAAAAATGTAATTATTCTTAAAAATTGGATTAAAATTCGTCAGATGAATTCAATTATTTAGAAATTCATTGATAAAATTTTTTACGAGATTTTAATTTCAAGAAACATTTAGTTATTCAATAAATTATTTATTTTCGAATTTAAATACTTAAATTCTCATAGAATTTTCTAATAAATATTTATTTAAAAATAAATTTCAGTTAAAAACACGAAAATTGAATTTTGCAGAAGTTAGAAATGATTGCAGGATCAATTTTTAATTCATACTTTTTTTTTTAAATTTTTTACCTCTCTTGCTTCTTTTTCATTTACGTTAAATTTAATTAAATTTTTTTCATCTCTTCGTTTTTTTCCCTTATTTTTCTCTTTTCTTTTTTGATAAATTAATTTTCCAATATCAGTGGATTCAAACTTGTTTTCTTCCTTTAGAATTCCATTATTTGTTCATTCTGTTTATTCAGGATTTTTTATTTGTTTTTTTATTTGTTTCTATATAGAAAAATAAAAGATAATCTTGCAAATTTAATATTTTGTGTTTAAAATTTCCTTTTTTTCCCTTTACTTTCAAATTATTAGAAATTCTACATTTTTTTACATTCTTTATTTTTTGTATACATCCCTTGCTTTTTCATAAAAGAAATATTCCTTTTTATTTTCTGTTTTCCTCCTGTTTTTCTTTTTCTATAGGAAACTTTTACTTCTTTTCTTGAAAAAGTAATCTTGTTTTAGATGCAATTCCAATATTTTCTATTTTCCATTTTCTCATCACTTTATTATTTTCGAGTCTCCTCTCTTCTTCTTCTTTTTTCCTGCCTTGTTTTTTTCTTATTTTATCATTCGTTTTTTCTTCTTTTTTCATTTTTCCCCCTTTCTCTCTTCTTCTGCACTTAACAATTTTCAACAAACTTTCTAAATAGAATAAATTGTGAAAAATTTGAAGTGTAAATTTTCACCTTTTCAGTTTATTTTGATTCGTCTGTTAATCTGAATTCAGAACTAAAAATCTAAACTTTTTTTCTCCCATATAGCATTTAATAGTTTTATTTTTAGAAAATGACGAGAAATCGAAGAAGACAAGAAGATGGAGATGTAATTTCAGACAAGTGTTGACTTTTATCGTTAAATTGTAAAACGATGAGTCTAAAATGAAATCAATTAAAATCGTGTAAGTCAATTCGATTGGAGATGATATGTACTTTTTCTCATGAGACCCTCCTTCATTCAAGAGAGAGAAAGAGAGAGTGAATGAGAGATCGAAAGCCCTTGAGAATCGAACGACCTGGATTAAATTCAGTAAACCATCAATTTTATCCTCTGTACGAGAGTACATTCCCTTGAAAATCTTTTACAAGCATTGCCCGTGAATTCGCACGTGCCACAAACCGTGCACTATTGAGTGTTTGCGTTGAGTGCGTAATACATCGGTTTACTTGTGTTTTCACGCACGAATAAGCACACGTGATAACGCACACACTATATAATACACGCGAACACTCATTCAGCATTCACCAAATTCGCAACAAGTTCATGGGATTAACTTCATAAATCGAAATTTCATTTCTTTTCTAATACCGCACTTTTAAACAGTCTCTCGAAAAATTGATATCAAGATAATTAACCTTTAAAGTGCTATGCCGGTCTGACAGACCGCTATTAAAATTTTCTTTGCTTGTAACTTTTTTTCAAAGTATAATAAGAACTTGAACTTTTTAGTAGCTTCATATTTTATGAAAATCTGTTAGGAGACAACTTTTTCAAAAATTTTTATTCCTTAAATTTTGTAATATAAATAAATATTTGAAGTATAGTGGTCTGTCAGACCGAGGCGAGGTTAGCTTTAAGTGAAAGTATATTCAGTATATTCCCATGAGTTACGTCTGCGCAACTTGACGCGCAGCTAGTTCTACTGACAGTTCTCATAGACTGCATTTATAAAATAAATAACAAGTTGATCATCAGTTGATCATTTCATGATCATTTAGCTTCCTCAATACAATATATACCTATTGTATAATTTTTTATTTTAGAATAATTATTTAAAAGTGTTAAGATACACATGCTAGTGTTCAGTCGGGTTCAGTCCCTACTAGAACGCTGGTAATTTTCAGATGATTAGATTGAATAAATTTGGATGAAATAAATTTTTATTTTCGTTTTTACCAAATTTTGATTGTCTGATGGCGTACGGGTGGACCTGCTACTACTTAAAAATTGAAATAAAATTCTCTATTCTTCAGGATTGTGTAGGGTTCAGTCCCTACTAGAACTCTGGTAATTTTCAGATAATTAGATTTGTTAGATTTGAAAGAAATAAATTTTTATTTTCGTTTTTACCAATTTTGATTGTCTGATGGCATTCGGGTGAGGGTGCTACTACTTAAAAATGGAAATAAAATTCTCTATTCTTCAGGATTGTGTAGGGTTCAGTCCCTACTAGAACTCTGGTAATTTTCAGATAATTAGATTTGTTAGATTTGAAAGAAATAAATTTTTATTTTCGTTTTTACCAATTTTGATTGTCTGATGGCATTCGGGTGAGGGTGCTACTACTTAAAAATGGAAATAAAATTCTCTATTCTTCAGGATTGTGTTGGGTTCAGTCCCTACTAGAACTCTGGTAATTTTCAGATGATTAGATTGAATAAATTTGGATGAAATTAATTTTTATTTTCGTTTTTACCAAATTTTGATTGTCTGATGGCATTCGGGTGAGGGTGCTACTACTAAAAAATGGAAATAAAATTCTCTATTCTTCAGGATTGTGTAGGGTTCAGTCCATACTAGAACTCTGGTAATTTTCAGATGATTAGACTGAATAAATTTGGATGAAATAAATTTTTATTTTCGTTTTTACCAAATTTTGATTGTCTGATGGCGTACGGGTGGACCTGCTACTACTAAAAAATGGAAATAAAATTCTCTATTCTTCAGGATTGTGTAGGGTTCAGTCCTTACTAGAACTCTGGTAATTTTCAGATGATTAGATTGAATAAATTTGGATGAAATTAATTTTTATTTTCGTTTTTACCAAATTTTGATTGTCTGATGGCGTACGGGTGGACCTGCTACTACTAAAAATAGGAAATAAAATTCTCTATCCTTCAGGATTGTGTAGGGTTCAGTCCCTACTAGAACTCTGGTAATTTTCAGATGATTAGATTAAATAAATTTGGATAAAATAAATTTTTATTTTCCTTTTTATCAAATTATGATTGTCTGATGGCGTACGGGTTGACCTGCTACTACTAAAAAATGGAAATAAAATTCTCTATTCTTCAGGATTGTGTGGGGTTCAGTCCCTACTAGAACTCTGGTAATTTTCAGATAATTAGATTTGTTAAATTTGGAAGAAATAAATTTTTATTTTCGTTTTTACCAATTTTGATTGTCTGATGGCGTTCGGGTGAGGGTGCTACTACTAAAAAATGGAAATAAAATTCTCTATTCTTCAGGATTGTGTTGGGTTCAGTCCCTACTAGAACTCTGGTAATTTTCAGATGATTAGATTGAATAAATTTGGATGAAATAAATTTTTATTTTCCTTTTTAACAAATTTTGATTGTCTGATGGCGTACGGGTGGACCTGCTACTACTAAAAAATAAAAATAAAATTCTCTATTCTTCAAGATTGTGTAGGGTTCAGTCCCTACTAGAACTCTGGTAATTTTCAGATAATTAGATTTGTTAAATTTGGAAGAAATAAATTTTTATTTTCGTTTTTACCAATTTTGATTGTCTGATGGCGTTCGGGTGAGGGTGCTACTACTAAAAAATGGAAATAAAATTCTCTATTCTTCAGGATTGTGTAGGGTTTAGTCCCTACTAGAACTCTGGTAATTTTCAGATGATTAGATAGAATAAATTTGGATGAAATAAATTTTTATTTTCGTTTTTACCAAATTTTGATTGTCTGATGGCGTACGGGTGGACCTGCTACTACTAAAAAATGGAAATAAAATTCTCTATTCTTCAGGATTGTGTAGGGTTTAGTCCCTACTAGAACTCTGGTAATTTTCAGATGATTATATAGAATAAATTTGGATGAAATAAATTTTTATTTTCGTTTTTACCAAATTTTGATTGTCTGATGGCGTACGGGTGGACCTGCTACTACTAAAAAATGGAAATAAAATTCTCTATTCTTCAGGATTGTGTAGGGTTCAGTCCCTACTAGAACTCTGGTAATTTTCAGATAATTAGATTTGTTAGATTTGAAAGAAATAAATTTTTATTTTCGTTTTTACCAATTTTGATTGTCTGATGGCATTCGGGTGAGGGTGCTACTACTAAAAAATGGAAATGAAATTCTCTATTCTTCAGGATTGTGTAGGGTTCAGTCCCTACTAGAACTCTGGTAATTTTTAGATAATTAGATTTGTTAAATTTGGATGAAATAAATTTTTATTTTCCTTTTTATCAAATTATGATTGTCTGATGGCGTACGGGTGGACCTGCTACTACTAAAAAATGGAAATAAAATTCTCTATTCTTCAGGATTGTTCAGGGTTCAGTCCCTACTAGAACTCTGGTAATTTTCAGATGATTAGATAGAATAAATTTGGATGAAATAAATTTTTATTTTCGTTTTTACCAAATTTTGATTGTCTGATGGCATTCGGGTGAGGGTGCTACTACTAAAAAATGGAAATAAAATTCTCTATTCTTCAGGATTGTGTAGGGTTCAGTCCCTACTAGAACTCTGGTAATTTTCAGATAATTAGATTTGTTAGATTTGAAAGAAATAAATTTTTATTTTCGTTTTTACCAATTTTGATTGTCTGATGGCATTCGGGTGAGGGTGCTACTACTAAAAAATGTAAATAAAATTCTCTATTCTTCAGGATTGTGTTAGGTTCAGTCCCTACTAGAACTCTGGTAATTTTCAGATGATTAGACTGAATAAATTTGGATGAAATAAATTTTTATTTTCGTTTTTACCAAATTTTGATTGTCTGATGGCGTACGGGTGGACCTGCTACTACTAAAAAATAAAAATAAAATTCTCTATTCTTCAAGATTGTGTAGGGTTCAGTCCCTACTAGAACTCTGGTAATTTTCAGATAATTATATTTGTTAAATTTGGAAGAAATAAATTTTTATTTTCGTTTTTACCAATTTTGATTGTCTGATGGCGTTCGGGTGAGGGTGCTACTACTAAAAAATGGAAATAAAATTCTCTATTCTTCAGGATTGTGTAGGGTTCAGTCCCTACTAGAGCTCTGGTAATTTTCAGATGATTAGATTAAATAAATTTGGATAAAATAAATTTTTATTTTCCTTTTTATCAAATTATGATTGTCTGATGGCGTACGGGTGGACCTGCTACTACTAAAAAATGGAAATAAAATTCTCTATTCTTCAGGATTGTGTGGGGTTCAGTCCCTACTAGAACTCTGGTAATTTTCAGATAATTAGATTTGTTAAATTTGGAAGAAATAAATTTTTATTTTCGTTTTTACCAATTTTGATTGTCTGATGGCGTTCGGGTGAGGGTGCTACTACTAAAAAATGGAAATAAAATTCTCTATTCTTCAGGATTGTGTTGGGTTCAGTCCCTACTAGAACTCTGGTAATTTTCAGATGATTAGATTGAATAAATTTGGATGAAATAAATTTTTATTTTCCTTTTTAACAAATTTTGATTGTCTGATGGCGTACGGGTGGACCTGCTACTACTAAAAAATAAAAATAAACTTCTCTATTCTTCAAGATTGTGTAGGGTTCAGTCCCTACTAGAACTCTGGTAATTTTCAGATAATTAGATTTGTTAAATTTGGAAGAAATAAATTTTTATTTTCGTTTTTACCAATTTTGATTGTCTGATGGCGTTCGGGTGAGGGTGCTACTACTAAAAAATGGAAATAAAATTCTCTATTCTTCAGAATTGTGTAGGGTTTAGTCCCTACTAGAACTCTGGTAATTTTCAGATGATTAGATTGAATAAATTTGGATGAAATTAATTTTTATTTTCGTTTTTACCAAATTTTGATTGTCTGATGGCGTACGGGTGGACCTGCTACTACTAAAAAATGGAAATAAAATTCTCTATTCTTCAGGATTGTGTAGGGTTCAGTTCCTACTAGAACTCTGGTAATTTTCAGATAATTAGATTTGTTAAATTTGGAAGAAATAAATTTTTATTTTCATTTTTATCAAATTATGATT